TTAAGTCAAAATTAGTGTCAGCTCCCTGAAAGATCCCCTTTAAATTAAGTAAGCGAACAAGAATTAATGTATTGTAGCCAGGATGAAAATATAATTTTAAATGCACTGCAGCAGATGAAGCAAAATAATCATATTTCAAACATTATGTCATTAAAGTTGATCAGCATGATTAGATTTGATTGGGTAAGAAATGGCCAAACATGGCAAGTAATATATCTGTTCAAATAAATAGCTAAGAAATCTTTATATTTCTTAAATGGATGCTATGTACACACAAACGAGATTCACAAAAAATGCCCTGCTGTCATGATGACAGGTCCCTACTGCACATCACTCCTAAAGTCAAAGCAAAATCAGTTTAGATGCCACAAGCTTTGATATGATAGCACTGGCTCAATGCATTTTCCATGTCAGTTCTGATTGGGTTCTTTTTACAAACTGAACCATTTCTGCACAGGGATGAAAGAAGGCATCCAATTTCATTCTGCCCTGTGCTCGCCACATTTAGCACTGTTTCTGTTCCACTGCAGTTCAGCTTCTGATACAAACTACATTATTTGTTTCATTGTCTGGAATTTACATAATTAATTACGTACATTTTCATTACGTTATTCCACACCATTTCAATGCAAATGAATCCCAATGCAAATTTAGACTAAGCGATTGAGGCCTTTAATATTATTCTTTCAAATAAAGCTGTCACTCATCTGTTGTGCAAGATCCATTTATTTATTTATTGGGTTTACATACTGCCTTTCTGGCAAGGCAGCCATGGCAGTTTGCAGTTGCCTAGTCTCTGTGTCCATCACAACCTCAGTCCTGCTATTTGAATTCCCTTGTACTTGATTTGAATAAATGGTGCAGTTTAGAGTTTGGGGCATTTTATCTATCATATCATATCCCCTGAGCGCATATATATAATAACTAAAACAAGTAAAACGGGGGGGGGGGCATGTACAGCATAAATATAACACAAGGATAAAAAGAGGGAAAAGTCCACATTTACACTTGACTCGAAAGCTCTTTGAAAACCAGTAGTGTGTGTCATTCCTCCCTGCTACCATAATGGTGGCACTGCCACAAAGAAGGAGCTACTGTAGATCACAGCTGGTGCAGCTGTGGCACACCAGATGTCAGGCTACAGATCCCATCATCCCTGACCACTGGACATGCTGGTTGGGGGTGGCCAACATCTGGAAAGCCTCTGAAACCTCATTACTAGATTTTATGGTTGCTTGTCATACTTCTGACATTGGGTCCCTTGCACCCTCCCCTCAATTCACAGGGTGGGGTTGGGGAAGTAAGCAAAGACATCATAAATTTTTTTTTATGTGATTCTGGCTTGTTTCCGGAGAAAGAAAACTATTGGGCACAAGCCATTGCTTGTAATTTTGGGGCAGAGTTTAACCAGAACCCTAGAATAGATCAGATAAAGTAAAATATTATATTACATAAAGGTGATATTTTGTATAGCATGAATCTCCCTCATTATGAATTACCACAGGCCATTACTACTGTTCTGCATAAAATGAAGTGGAGGCCTTACAAAGGGTGCATAAAGAATAAAATTAACAATATAAGCTGCAGGAGACAAAGTCATGTAGCCACTTGCTACATGACTTAGTACAAGACTGAAACTGAAAGTGCTGGAGGGCTAGTACAGTGGTACCTCGAGTTAAGAACTTAATTCATTCTGGAGGTCCATTCTTAACCTGAAACTGTTCTTAACCTGAGGTACCACTTTAGCTAATGGGGCCTCCCGCTGCTGCCGTGCCGCCGCCACACGATTTCTGTTCTCATCCTGAAGCAAAGTTCTCCCCCCCCCCAGTTTCCACATTTATTCAAAACTCATCATTTTAAAAAAGCAGCATTAAAATCCAATAAATGGTGATGAAGAGGCAGAGGTAGAAAACAAAGACCACAAAGCATCTGTATGCTGGTCTTCCCATGTGTCTTTCATTAAATTTGAATCTTTGTTCTCTTGTATGCTTCAGAAACCCCCAAAATCAGAATTTGCTTCGCTGGTCTGAAATAACTGCAACAGTGCTTGTGTTGATGAGCTTTGTACATTTTTTGTTTCTTCTGGAACAGGTAGTTCATCAGCCTGATGTAAACTGAAGCAAAGTTCTTAACCCGAGGTACTATTTCTGGGTTAGTGGAGTCTGTAACCTGAAGCGTCTGTAACCCGAGGTACCACTGTACACTTCATTTGGATTAATGCAATACATTAAGTGCAGGAAGGAGTGTTGAGCCAGCCACCGCTAGGGCTAAAACAAAAAACAACAAAAACCACATTTGGAGAATATTCTGGAAACTGCTACAGGTTTCCAAACTTTGTCCTCCATTATATCAGACAAAAGTATATTTGACATCATTCGGTTTGCTAAAGTCTTTCATATCCTGAAGGACAATCCATTGTATTAATGTGTGATGTCGTGCAATTTATCATGCCGCAGGAACAATACTAATCACCCCTCTTGCTTGCATCAGCCATCACTCTTCCACTCTTAATGTATCTGAATCAATCTAAGCTCATTTATATTAATCGTGACTTGTTTGTATAGAAAAATGTCAAACAAGAGTAATATGCATAGGTGCCATGCTACAAGGCAGTGCATTATAAAAGGGAGAGGTGGCTCTATGCAACTTTAAAAGATGGGGATCTTTCAGAGCCATTTAAAAATATGTGTGCCTAACACTTGCGCTATCGAGCCTACAGGGGCATCCAGTGTGAGCCATACACATGCCTAGTCTGATTCCAGGGGGTGGGGCTTAAGGTGGAGCCTGTTGAGGACCACCCACCCTCCCTCTGGCCTCTTTACAATTCCAGCATCCATCCATCCTTCATGGCATCCATGACATCCTTCATTAGCCAGATGCCTCAGAGCCAAATTTTTCAGCTGCCTCAGAGCCGTATTTTTCGCTCTATAGGACACACCTGACCATAGGACACACCTTGTTTTAGAGGGGGAGAACAAGAAAAAAAAAATCTCCCCTCTCTGCTCAGTGCCCCTTCAGCGAAGTGGCAGGAGAAACGGAGCCCCTTCCATTTCTCTTCCCACTTCGTTGAAGGGGCGCTGCACAGTTTTCCCTCTCTGCTGAAGCCAGGAGAGTCTTGCTCTCCTGCATTCGCCTGCATTCACTCCATAAGATGCACACACATTTCCCCTTAATTTTTGGAGGGGGAAAAGCACGTCTTATAGAGCATTATGGGCCAGGAAGCAAATTGACATCTTTTCCTTCTATTTCCCCACTGCCTACTCTGGATGGTTTCCATTGTGGTTGTTGGTTTTCTGTAGTGTTGATATAGGACATTAGTTAGGTCAGTTTGGCCACATTTGGGCAGGTAGGTGTGTGTGTGAATATGACAGGCAGAGTGAGGTAAGCATTCTTACTTACGCTTCATTGGTGAAAAGTGAGTTATAGGACCCATTGGCTGGGTAGGGATTGTCACTGAGATCAAACACAGTTGCCATTCAGAATCTTCTCCATGAGATTCGATGTTCTTTCTGTGGCATTACCCTCTCCTTCTTACAAGCGTTTCAGGAAACTCCACCAAGCTAACAGTTTCTTTCCTGAGAATACTTCCAGAATTATGAAAGAGGTGGGAAAGAGCTGCGCAGGACCAAATGCCAAGGGTTACAACTTTCAAGGAGAATGAAAGAAGTCAAAAGTTATTCAGTATGTGAAACTGAAGACTACAATAGACAGAAAGACATTTTTAAAATATCAAAAAGAGATCTTTGTATAAAAATGAACAAAGGTAACACAATGCTTGGAATCAAATGGTCTGTTGCCGGCAATTGTATAGTCTGAAACTTTCAGATATTTAATCACGACAAGTTAAAGGCCTTCCTTCCTCAAATATAGAGTTTTCAATGTCAGTGTAGCTACCTCTGTTTTGATTCTGTGTTTATTCCAAATTGGCACCGCTGATACGATGCTGATGGGACTTCTGATTTTTCACAAAGACTTTATGATTAGATCTTCTTGTATCAAACAGCCATTTCCATTACTGCATGAGGTCTATTTAAGAAGACGTAGGGGGAAATAAAGAAACCATCTAGGCCATTGCTTAACAACCACCTACAGCTCCCCTATCACTTCAAGGCCATAGCATGAAGAAACAGGGGGTCCATATGGATGTTTACCTAGAATAGTCCCCGCAACCATTATCTGCTTGGTGAGTGGTCAGTAGGGAATCTACAGAGCCACAAATAACAAATTTAATCAATGTAGTCAGCTATGAGGAGGCTGCAAGCAGAGGCAATCAGTTCCTGTCTGGCATAGAAGCAGATAGCAAAATATGGAGGAAAAGGAGGTGTGGGGGGGAATACATCACTATAACATTGTATTAAATTGTATCTTGAGTCTTCTTCTGGGTGCGATGGCAAATTGCATTTCATTTAAAACCATCTACATTATTTACTTCTCCAAACAGAATTTGTAACAGAAATGCTGATATAATGCTAAGCAAAGATATGTAAACATGATGTTCAGTTGACAAAGAATTGCTACAGAGATGTCATATCCGCTCACCACAAGTCAGTGAAACAAAGATCTTTCACCATGCAGAGGTTTTTTCCCCTGCTGAAACCTGTTTTCCATAGTCTGACATTTCATTTTTGTTTGCACACAATTTGTGTCTCACTGATTAAATAATTCCCCAGATCGCCTCAATTCTGTCATCTGCATTTGTAGCTAGGCATAACAACCAACTTGTTGTTGTTTTCTATCAATTTACATATTAAAAGCAAATGAAATAGGCTTATTCCAAAGAAAGCAACAAGTATGGTTGTGATGTTTTTTTAAAAAATAAAATCAGAGGAACTAAGCACTAATGAAAACTGTGTATTTCTGTGTTTCTCTAGGGCAAGTAAGACTTTGCTTCAAGTATCATTTAAATTTGTGGGAGTCTTTTATGCATCTAAATGCATAGCAAGACGTTATTGAGACAGTTCCAGATTTTGTGTAGTATGTGGAAACACGCACATCTCTACCTTATGCTATTAAACTGTTTTCGAACATCAAGCTCAGAATTATCTACTCCAAGAATAATGAATGTGATGTCCTCAGGACATTGCTGAAATCCAATTTTCATCAGCCTCACCCTCCATGGCAAATCCAGGGTTCACGTGAACAGTAGTCCAACAACATTCCGGCTACCTGTGGTCTACTCTAACTGCCAACAGGCTGTCAGGCAGAAGTCTTCTAGTCCCTGATTCTTTCTTAATTAGAGATGCCAGGAATGGAACCTGGAAACTTCTGCATACAAATCATGTGTCCTTTCTGGGAAATGATATATAATGAATTGGGGAAAAAATGTTTAAAATAACGTTTATTTAAAAAAACAACCAGAGGCTTTTCTATTAGGAATTGTAGGTGCTGATATTCCAAGGGAGCAGAAAAGACTTTTAATTTATGCGGCGACAGCAGCACGGATGCTACTAGCCCAGAGATGGAAAGAAGATAACGTCCCTTCCAGAGAAGAATAGCAAATTAAACTGTTGGTCTATCCTGAAATGGCAAAATTGACTGGGAAGCTCAGGAACCAAGAAGACCAAAACTTCAACAAGGAATGAGAAAAATTTATAATTTATCTTGGAGACCACTGTAAGCAGATGGAAACATTAACAGGATTGCAGTAACACTTGTAATGTAACGAGTACTATGGAGATAATGGAGTTGTAAAAAAAAAAAAAAACATGGATGACTGAAAAAGATGCAGTAGAAACAGTTTAACAACAGAACCCACATAGGGGAAGGTGGGAAGTCCAGAGATTCAGAGGAATCTTTTAATTATGGATGTGTGTTCTGGTATTATTATAATTTTATATTTGTAAAACAAAAAGGAAAACTATTTAAAACAACAACAAATTATGTGTCCTACCACTGAACTATGGTCCCTTCTTGCCTATAAGAGGCGTTCCTGTGCTCTGTATGGAGTTCTTCTCTCCCCCCTTGCTCCAGCATCAGTATCAGCTTCTCTTAGTGCTGGGGTGGGGAGAGCCTCCCTTCTCAGCCTGCCAACCCAGTGCTGTGCTTTACTTGGCTCTTAGCTCATTTAGCCTACCTAAAGATTTGCAGTTATTTCCTCATAAAGTACCTGGTGCATTAGGAATCTTTTTATGAACTTGGAGGTCACAGAATACATACAGTAAAGGTACCACTGATTTTAAAAATCCCAGACAAAAGAATGGGAGGGAGACATTTTAAGTAACAGTTAATCTCTAAGTCAAAAGAAGAAGCTACAAAAATGTGTATTCTGAGATTAATAATAATAATAATAATTTATTATTTATAACCCACCCATCTGGCTGGGCTTCCCCATCCACTCTGAGCAGCTTCCAACAAAATATTAAAATACAGTAATCCATCAAACATTAAAAGCTTCCCTAAAAATATAAGAAGAACCTGCTGGATGAAGCCAATGGCCCATCTAGTCCAGCATCCTCTTCTCTCAGGGGTGGACCAGATGAAGAATTCAAGCACAAGAGTCATCTCCCCTCTTGTGGTTTCCAGCAACTGGTATTCAAAAGTATTCCTGCTTCAGGCTTGTAGCCATCAACAGCTCTTTGCTCCATTAATTTCTCTAATCCTCTTTTAAAGTCATCCAAGTTGGTGGCCATCACAGTCTCCTATGGGAGCGAGTTCCATAGTTTTAACTAAAGGAGGTAAAGGACCCCTGGACGGTTACGTTCAGTCAAAGGCGACTATGGGGTTGTGGCGCTCATCTCTCTTTTCAGGCCAAGGGAGCCGACATTTGTCCACAGACAGCTTTCCAGGTTATGTGGCCAGCATGACTAAAATGCTTCTGGTGCAACAGAATACCGTGACAGAAACCAGAATGCACAGAAACGCCATTTACCTTCCTGCTGCAGCGGTATCTGTTTATCTACTTGCACTGGCATGCTTTTGAACTGCTAGGTTGGCAGGAACTGGGACAGAACAGTGGGAACTCACCCCGTCGCAGGGATTCGAACCGCCAAACTTCCGACTGGCAAGCCCAAGTGTGGTTTAGACCACAGCTCCACCCGCATAGTTTTAACTTGGGTATTCTCTGTGTTTTGCGTTATTATACTCTTGGGTATTCCCTGTCTTTGTGTTATTATGATCTCACCTTTGAAAACAGATTCAAAATGTGTAAGGAGAAGGTGCTGAATAATATCAAAAGTTCTGTCCAGGGACTCTTTTCATCAGCTTCTGGAGATATGCAAGAGAGCACCACTATCATCATGAAACTAGGACAACATTTCCGCATAAGGTTACCAAATATTACCTGAAGAGTATATTATAGCCCTGTTATTAAGACGAAAAGGTATATTTCACCGTGAGCACCTCCATCTACCCTGAAAACAGCAGTCAGCCTCCCTTTAGCTTCTAAATGAGATAAGACAAAGATTCTCATGCTCTCTTTCTGCCCTAGAGCAAAACGACTACTGAGATGGGAAAAACTATAAATCTCTTGAAAGCCTGTAACTTTTATTTTTGCTGCAGCTGCAGATCTTTGCAGTGAAAAGCAGCTGGAACATTTTCTCCCCTCTTCCAAAGATCCTGTGCACCTGAAGGCAGAAGTTAGATCATAGTTTTAAGGGGCTTTTTATTTATTCATTTATTTACAAGAATATTTATAAAGTGCCAACTCATTAAACAAAATCATGGCCATTAAGACGTTAGAAAAATTTAAATTTGTTACTAGTCAGAGCCGTGCACATGTTGTGGTCAGTACCCCCCACCACCACAAGACTCTCCAAGCTTTTTGTGCTCTAAATGTACTATATTTATTGCTTGGGACAAGATCTCAGGGACCTCCTGTGTTCCCACCCTTCATACATTGAGCTCAAGATAGCATACATACATAGTCCTCCTCCTTATCTTCACAGTAGCTATTGCTACTATGATGGCCAAGTTGCACTGAGCCCAATGGAAGAAAGGGTGTGTGGCCTAAATGTAGCTCAAAACCAGGTGAGCAATATAGTTTCACATACATAGGATTAATGTAAATATATATTACATATACCCTCAGATTTCCAATATCACTAATTTAAAGGAGAACACTATAACTGAAATAATAGGCCAGTGATGTAAGATTTTAAAGTATAGGAAAGGTATGCAAATACTACAAATAATTGTTGGGGGTGTCTGATTTCCAGAGCCGTTTACAAACCTATCTAGTAGCATTATTTGAAAATATGTGCTTATTAGGGAAAGGGGTGTATCCAAGAAATAATGTGTGCACACAATACTACTAAGCCCATTCCTATTTCTTGCTGGGTACTGCTTTAAGGAGATTTGAAATTAACACTGAAATAACATTAATTGTGGTGAAGATGATAGAATGTCAGCCAATGTATACTGATGGTTCTATTCGGAGGGTATGGAAGTTAATAGACATTGTAAAGTTAGGAGATATAGCTTGTTTATAATAAGGAAGACAACTGGTAAACCACCCTATAGAGCAGACATGGGGGACCTGTTCCTTTCCAGATGTTGCTGGACTCCAGTTCCCATCATCCCTGACCATTGGCCATGTGGCTGGGGCTGATAGGAGCTGGAGTCCAGCAATTTCTATATGGCCACAGGGGCTGGACTCCAACAATGTTTGGAGGGCCACAGGTTCCCCATCCCTGCTGTAGAGCAATGGGCTCCATTTACACCATGTGTAAGCAAAAATATGGCCCCAAAAAACCTTATCTATAATTTTGTTTTCTAGAATGGGAAAAAAAATAAATATAATTTGAAAGGTACAAGTAAGCATTGATTGCGCAAACATTTATATTAATAATTAAAGATGTCAATGAGGAACAAATAGCATTATTTCCTGAGGAACGCATGCTGCCCTGTGCTTAGCAGGACCAGGTTGAGGAAATCAGAAAGAATAGACAAGTTAATGTATCTTACACACAAAAAGAGCCACCGGGCCTACTTTGGTAGGAAATCAGGAAACAGCATGGGACAACCCTAAGAGTCCTGCTGACAAGTTGAAGATGGATGAGGTACGACGATTTCCCAAACTAATCAGCCGAAAGCCTAGAAATTTAGCTGAGGAAAGGATGTGGAAATAAGATCTGAAGGCTTGGGATGAGACTTTGGGCTATGTTCCTGTTTACCGCTAGACAGATCCACAAGGAAAAAAAATCTGTTGATTTGCTTCCCCACCCCCTTGCCCCCAAGTGTTACAGTATTTCAAGCTGCAGCTTCACTATACTTCTAAGAGTCCATTTTCAACTTTGATGTGCAACATAATATACATTATTTCAACTGCCAAATCATCAGTCATTCTCCAGACATGTTTTGTTTCATTTATCTATCCCAACCCCCAGCTAATGGGCAAACTAGAATCCGTTGTGGAAGCATGACGCAATTTGGGTTGTGCCAGCTTTGGCTATGGGTCCAATTCACATGTCATGTTAAATGAGAGATAGGAGCCTCAAGTCTGGAGGCCAAGCAACCCCCCCCCCCGAACTCCCCCTTTGGCCCTTCTTCCAAGGCTACATCCCCTCTCCAGCCACACATCCCTCTGCAGGACACAACACTTAGCTGCCTAGCTTGGCATCCTCCTTGAGGTTGGAAAGTGTGACTTCCAACATATATGAAAACATAATAAAGCATTAAACATTTGAAAGCTTCCCTATACAGGACTACCTTCAAACGTCTTCTGAAGGTTGTACAGTTACTTATCTCCTTGGCTCATGGGGTCGCATAACTCCATACCCTCCAACATTTCTCTGATGAAAATTGGGATAGCCTAAGGAGAAGTGGGACATTCTGGGATCAATTCAGAAACCGGGGTGGCTTCTGTAAACCCAGAACTTGGTAATAGGGACACTTGGAGGGTCTGTGAGTGTGTGTGGAAACTAACCTACTGAGCAAAGGTAAAATGCACATTCATTGCTCTGACTACTTTTGCCTCTGGGTCAACTACCAGTATAAGGCCTCCAAGAAGATTGCCCAGAAGAAAATGTATTATTATTATTATTATTATTATTATTATTATTTGAATTTTTATACTGCCCTACACCTGGGGGTCTCAGGGCAGTTTATACCCACCCTACACCTGGGGGTCTCAGGACAGAATAAAATCAAGATCTAAAACCATAAAATAACTAATAAAAACAAAAACACACACACAAAAAAACATTTTAAAAGGGCATAGGATGTAAATAGGATCAACCAAAGGCCTCATTAAAAAGGAACATGTTGGTCTAGCACCTAAAAGTGTATAATGAAGGCACCAGGCAAACTTCCCTGGGGAGAGCATTCCACAGATGGGGAGCCACTACAGAGAAGGCCCGTTCTTGTGTTACCACCCTCCGGACCTCTTGAGGAGGAGGCACATGAAGAAGGGCCTCAGAAGATGATCTCAGGGTCCAGGTGGAAAGAGGCGGTCCTTGAGGTATTGCGGTCCTGAGCCTTTTAATGTGAATGAGCATGCCCCTCAAAACTCCTCAGTTCACTCCTACCTTTCTCCTTCTGTTGCCATTGTAAAGAGGAAACAAACCAGAGGCTGGCTTTGTATTATATGAGGACCAGAGCATGTGGTGCGTTTCTCCCCAAACAAGAAGAAGCCATGGTTTCCTCTTGGCACACCGCTTGTGGTTTGTTTAGGGGAACTAAACCATGACTGCTGGTTCACCAGGATACAAAGCCAGCCTCTGGTTCGCTTCCTCCTTGGAAGCAAGAGCAAGGGAGGAACAAAGCTGGGTGGGGCTGAGCAGCTCGTATCAGCAGGCTGCTCCTTCACTGCTTCATAAGGTGACGTGTGGACCAGACTACAGCGAGGCAGAGAGTGCAACTCTGGTGGGAACGAGAAAGGAACTGAATTAAGGGTGCCAACTTGAATAGAATATTTGGTGGCCCCAGGTAAACCCTGTCCTGCATCACTGATCACAAGAAATCACACACACACACAGCATTTGAATGGCAATGCCCATCAACTGAGGGGGCAGCCCCCTAAAATATTTTATGGGTGGTTGAAGGGACCTCAGTCCCTAGAAGCTGGCTTCTATGAACTGAATCCCCCCTCTACCCAAACTCACTCCTCAAAAAAGTTCACCTCCCTCTCAAAAAAGGGCAAAGCCATAGATCAGAGGAAGAGCATTTGTCTTGCATGCAAAGGGTTCAATCTCTTGACATCTCCAGGGAGTCCCTGTTTAGAACCCTGGAATGCCACTGCCAGTCAGTGTAGACACTATTGAGCTAGGTTGACAGTTTTCTGGCTTGGTTTAAGGCAGCTTCCTATGTAATCCCCAGCTACCTTTTCCCCCAGTGGGTCTCAGGCCCCCACTTTAGAAAAACAACTGAGCTGAAGCAGCTGGGGGGGTGATGGGGCAGTTAGAGTATCGTTTCCACCTGTGCTTTCCATGCAGCCCTTTGAATAGCCCCCACTGCACCCCCTGCTTTATATGAATTTGGTGGCAACCTGACTCAACTTGACTCCCAGCTCTGCCACTGCGACATTAACCTTAGCCCTAAATTGGCCTCTCAAACGACACTCGGCTTTCTCTTTCTTTTCTTTGTCCCCCACCCCTCGCGGAAAAGTAATTTAAAACTGTTGGCAGATTCATTCTTCCTTTCTTCGTGACCTAATTCACGCTGCATCCTAATGGTACAAAAGTAAATGAATCACATTTCTATCTAATTATTGTACGCGGAGTGAGCCAGCATTTGCATTTCCCATCTAGGAGTGCACAAGGACACGCTTCAGAAAACTCTCTTCACCTCATCCTCGGTATAGGCATACATTCCCCTCTCCTTTTCTTTTCTAATTTTTAAAGCAAATAGAAGACAGTCAAGTGGCAAGTCTTCTTCTGCTATTATCTCAATTTCTTCGTTTGGACACCATTTTCAGGTGTCTCTGGACACAATCTTGCAAATATTAGCTGGGCTTTAGATCCTATTGTAAGCAGTGTCTGATTGGTTTCATTTCTTACATAAGAACATAGGAAGCTTCCTTGCATTGAGTCAGACCATTGGCCCATCCTGCTCACTAGCAGTGACTCTCCAGAGTTTCAAACAAGGGTCTCTCCCAATCATACTCAGAGATGCTGAGTATGAGAAGCATACAAATACTACAACCGAGCTACGGCCCCTGGCTATGGCATATGTGTTTCTTAATTGGTAAATATTAAATGCTTTAAAAATGCATCAGTAGCAATCCAGGTTGTGATCCTTTCGGCATGGTTGGCAATACCAGTCAATAGAGTTAAGAATATGGTTTAACTTCCTCATTGAAATCAATAGGCGTTTAAATGCTTCAAGTGCAAACCAATGAAGCTTAAGATGTTCCATTTCCATAGCTTTTGTTCAGCATGAAAAACGCTCCATTATATTTGTCTCCAAATTGCAATCCTGATTTTAAAGTTTTCTACTCGACCGTGATTACCTGTAAACAGCAGTGTTTTATGCTGCTAGGAAAAATTCGAGCTAACGAACCTTGAAACTCTGGGTGAGGTGGAAAAATGGTCAGGTTACGGCCGGTAGTTATGAATACTTCCCAAAGAATCACATTACTCTTTGGCTTTATAACTTGTAATTCCTTAGGCCTTCTGAGAAGGGCAGGCTGAGCTTCAGGATCGTACAGTCAATGCCGTTGATTTCTGCCATGTTGAATGCATGATAAGTGACCAATACCTCATTATAGTAGCTGTGGAGGTTGGTCCATTAGGGTAAAGTCAGGCCCTGTGCCTCCAAGCTTAGTCTGGCCTCAGCTAGTCCTCACCTGCCTAACTCCTTCCTTAGGGGTGGCATTAGCTGTCAGCTGTCTCAGTGTTGCCTTTGTAGAGCATCCTTGTGGGAAGATAGGGACAAACCACATTTGTTGGCTCTACCCATTATCAGCTCTGGCTTCACTTGCTACTGGCCTTCCTGCCTTCCTCCCTGCTGGTTCCAATGGGCACCAGCCTCCACTGTACAGTGTGTTACTACTAGCAACCAGAAATTGCTTTGATTTCAATATATATAGCGGAGGAGGAGAATAAAGACATTTTAAAATAAAAGGGGAGAAAGCGGGTGGGGGTGATCAACCCCTGACTTACTGCATTGTGGGAAACAAATTAATGGCCTCTCTTTTTCAAATTATCCTTCAAGTAATGCCCATTAGTTCTCATTGTCTCAGAGGAAGTGCCTCTGTCTCAATCAGATGAATTCAAAGTAATGGTTAGAATATTGAAGAGGATAAACTGCTTTGACTTCGCAGCCCATTTGAAATTATTCATAACTTGTTAAAGTGTGCTGCCTGCCTTCAGAACCCCTCACCTTTGACTTTCGAGAAATATGATAGTTCAATCCTGCTTCGATAGGGCAATCATTCAGTTTTATAGGTCATTATATAGCCATTCTTCCAAGTCACCTTTTGAGACAAGACAGAGTTAGGAAACATATCTTTGATATAATTTCTCAGATAATATTTGACAAAAGAACCTACGCAAAATTAAACGTAATTTCTTTCCCTATCAGGCACAGATTAATTCCGTTTAAACTTCCTCCTGCCTGGCAGTCTTTTGTGCTCTCCCAGAAATACAGGGGATGTAACATGCCATTTGTTTCATTGTTTCAGATGTGATGGCTTGGAAAGGATGTATTGGCTCAATCCTAAATCAACAGAATTAAGTTTACACCTTATCACTTCCTTCTATTAAGATCAGTGAGACAGGAGGCAAAGAATTGTTCTTTTAATTAACTCCCAATGGGTGATTTTTGCTTGAAGAATAATGCAGATAGATTGTCTCTGCAGCTTGTTATCTAGGCCTAAAGGCCAAGTTTACAACCAGCAATTCTAAAGAGATCATTCGATTTAAACTTAAGTATGGTTATAACAGAAGTACTCTGAGCACTTCCCCCTTAGAAAGAAAGAAAGAAAGAAAGAAAGAAAGAAAGAAAGAAAGAAAGAAAGAAAGTCAATACCTTGACTGATGGACAACGTTGGAATGAGTGGCACAAGGAAAAGAGGGAGAGTTAGACAAACAACTTTAACAACTCTAACCTCAGCCTCGCAGACACGTAGATCATCTGTACCTACTTTGCCCTCAGAAGTAGAACTTGAAGAAGTTGCCTTGCCACAGGCAAAAGAGGGAGAGGGTGAAGCAGAGCAGTTACAATTGGAAGATATGGCCTCAGGAGTATCTGTTTCTGTTCTAGACAAAATCTTTGAAAAATTGGAAGCTTTGGACAAGAAAGTAGATGCGCAATCAGCAAAGATTGACAAAAATACAGAATGTCTAAATAAATTAACCATACAAGTTGTACAGAATACACAAGCAATTGGACAGTTAACGGAGGCCTCAGCAGAAAATCGGAAACTGGCTGAGGATACTAGACAAAAATTGGAAAATTTAGAGCAAGAGGTAAGGCCACTCACCAAACAAGTTGGGGAACATCAGACTTATCTTTCCATGATAGAACTGCGAAATCGTGAGAATAATTTGAGGATTAGATCATTACAAGAGGCAGAAGAAGGAAATTTAACTGAGTTTTTGACCAAAGAATTTTCCAAGTTCTGGAATTTGGAAGAAAAGGATTTTAAAATTGTGTCGGCTTTCAGACTTGGAAGATTCACAAAGAAGGAGAGGCCCAGAGACTGTTTGATTACATTGAGATCAAAGGAGGAAAGGGATAAGATTTTGGGCCTACATTACGGAAAGTCACTGGAGGTTTTGGACAGAAGAATTGAAATTTATAAAGATATTCCAAGACAACTGCTGGATCTTAGAGCCGCCTATTCTGAACTTGCTAAACTACTAAGGAGCAACGCAATTCCATTTAGGTGGGAATTTCCACAAGGAATATCTTTTACCTTTAAAGGGAGAAAGGTCAAAGTTAGAACATTGGAAGAGAGAGACAAATTTTTGGCTACATACGGAGAGGACCTTCAAAAAGGAACTGAATTACCTTCTGGGCCTGGGGCAAAGCCAGTATCAACACCAGCACCTGGGGAACCTGAAGATCGAGAGAAGACACCACCCCTGGAGAAATAACCAGATAGATCCAGGATGTCTCTGCAATTGCTGAGTTGGAACATTAATGGTTGTAACATTCCGGAAAAAAGGAAGAAAATATTTCATATATTAAAAAAAGAACAATTGGACATCATCTGTTTACAAGAAACACATGTGACGAGGCTCTACAGAAAAGTGTTAATAAATAAAAGATTGGGCCAGGAATTTGTTTCGTCGGACAAAGTTAAGAAGAGAGGCGTGGTGATATATGCAAAAGAGAGCCTGTCACCTAAATTCTTATTTAAAGATGAATATGGAAGAATTTTGGCCATTGAGATACAACATCAAGGAGAGAAACTGTTGATATTAGGAATCTATGCACCTAATGAAGGGAAATCGGAATTTTACAAGAAGCTGCAGGGGACAATGCTGGACTATCTGGATTACAACAACATCATAATGATGGGAGATATGAACGGGTCGTGTCAACTAATATGGACAAGTCACAAAGTCAAAATGTTACAAAAGACGGCAGACTACCTAAAACCTTTTTTGAAATGACTGACAATATGGATTTGATTGATATTTGGAGGACAAAGAACCCACTAGGTAGAGAAGGAACATTCTTTTCTGAAGCCCAACTGACCTGGACAAGAATCGACCAAATATGGATTTCTAGAGGCCTGGCACCTAAGGTCAGAAAAGTGGAAATCTGCCCAAAGACCTGCTCTGATCATAATGCAGTAAAGATGGATATGACACTACTACCAACTGGATCCTTTAGATGGAAGATGAATGACAATTTATTTAGAGATCAGGAAATTACCAAGAAGGCCCAAAAAGTTTTGAAGGACTATTTTGAGATAAACATGAACAATTCGGTGGAAAAAAAGAATCGTCTGGGACGCAAGCAAAGCTGTAATGAGGGGATTCTTGATACAACAGAATGTAGTAAAGAAAAGAACACAAAATGAGAAAAAGATAAGATCTTGGATAAAATAAAAGAACTAGAGAAGAAATTAAGAGTGAATCCAAAGTCACAGCCAACTCTGAGAGAAATTAAACTTCATCAAACACAATATTCTAAATTGATAAATCAGGAAATTGAATGGAAGGTTAAATTAATGAAACAAAAAACGTTTGAGTCGGCGAATAAATGTGGAAAACTGCTAGCTTGGCAGTTGAAGAGAAGACAAAGATTAAACACGGTTACAAACTTAGAGGTTGATGGAAAAAACATTCAGAATCCAGTGGATATTAGAAAGTGTTTCCAGAGATATTTCAAAAAATTATACACCCAAGGGCCGCAAGACGAAGTTGAGATTAAACAATTTTTGGCAAAAAATGGACTATCTAAATTGTCACAAGAAAATAGGACAATCCTGAATTCTAAAATAACACGACAGGAGATTGAACAAGCCATTCAGAACATACAACTTGGCAAATCTCCAGGGCCAGATGGGCTGACCTCCAAGTATTATAAGACATTAAAAGACTATTTGATACAACCTTTGATGGAGGTCAGCAATGAAATTATGGGGGGGAAGAGGGCACCGGATTCGTGGAAGGAAGCGTTTATCACATTAATACCAAAGTCGGAAGCTGAAAAGACACAACTTAAGAACTACCGCCCCATCTCCCTTTTAAATGTGGATTACAAAATATTTGCAGATATTTTGGCAAGTAGATTTAAAAAAGTCTTAAATGAAGTAATTCATAAGGACCAGGCCGGCTTTCTCCCAGGTAGACATCTGTTTGCTAATACAAGGAACATTATTGACATTTTGGAACTTCTGCAAACAGATATAAATACAAAAGCAGTTTTAATCTTCATAGATGCGGAGAAGGCCTTTGACAATATCTCCTGGAAATTTATGATGGGAAATTTAAAAGAGATGGGAGTGGGACGGGGTTTTGAGAATGGGATTGAGGCGATATATTCAGAACAGAAAGCTAAATTGATAGTTAATAATGTGGTCACAGAAGAGTTCAAAATTGAAAAAGGGACACGACAAGGTTGCCCTATCTCCCCTTTGTTATTTATTTCGGTTCTGGAAGTGCTATTGAACATGATTAGAGGGTTCGGTTGGTGGAAGGAATTCAGGTTGGTCAGAAACAATATAAACTAAAAGCTTTTGCAGATGACCTGGTTTTGACCTTGCAGAAGCCAGAGCCCAGTACGAAAAGAGTATTACAATTGATTAATGATTTTGGTCGGGTGGCTGGATTTAAATTAAATAAACAGAAAACTAAGGTTTTGGGGAAAAATTTAACTGATACAGAGTCAGAACGGTTTCAGAATGAGACGGAACTCAATGTGGTTAAAAAGTAAAATACCTAGGGGTAAACATAACAGCAAAAATCTAAGTCTATTTAAGGATAACTATGAAAAATGTTGGGCAGAAATTAAGAGAGACTTAGACAGTTGGTCAAAATTGAAACTTTCTTTGTTAGGCCGAATTGCTGCTATTAAGATGAATGTATTGCCAAGGATGTTGTTTTTATTTCAAACACTTCAAGTTTTGGACAAAACGGAGTGCTTTCAGAAGTGGCAGAGAGATATTTCGAAGTTTGTCTGGCAGGGCAAAAGCCCAGAATCAAGTTCAAGATATTAACTGATGTAAAACAAAGAGGGGCTTTGCCCTGCCGGACTTAAAGTTGTATTATGAAGCCGCAGCGTTCTGCTGGCTAAAAGACTGGCTACTTCTTGAAGACACTGATGTGTTGGACTTGGAAGGGTTTAATAATGTTTTTGGATGGCATGCATATCTATGGTATGACAAAGTTAAAGCAAATAAGGCCTTTAAGAACCATATTGTCAGAAAATCACTGTATAATGTCTGGACAAAATATAAAGACTTGTTGGAAAATAAAACACCAAGGTGGCTTTCACCTTTGGAAGCTAAGGCCCGAAAAGACCCAATATGGAGGCTAAATGGCCAAAATATTGGGAAATACTAGAAAAGATGGAGACAATTGGAAATTGCAGAGTTTGGAGAAAATGAAAGACAAAGTGCGAGATTGGTTACATTACGCTCAGATTAAAGAAGTTTTTAAAAATGATAAGAAACTAGGGTTCCAGGTGGAGAAATCGAAATTAGAAACAGAATTGTTAGAACCAAAGACTAAGGTACTTTCAAGGATGTATAACTTGCTGTTGGAATGGAATACACAAGATGAAATGGTTAAATCGGCTATGATAAGGTGGGCACAGGACATTGGGTATAATATTATGTTTGAGGACTGGGAAAAGTTGTGGAGTAATGGATTGAAATTTACTGCATGTAACGCTCTGAAAGAAAATGTAATGAAAATGATTTATAGATGGTATATGACCCCAGTTAAACTTGCAAAAATTTACCACCTGTCTGATAATAAGTGTTGGAAATGTAAAGAGTGCGAGGGAACGTTCTTCCACCTCTGGTGGACCTGCCCTAAAGTGAAGGCGTTCTGGGAAATGATTTATAATGAATTGAAAAGGTATTTAAATATACCTTTACCAAGAAACCAGAGGCTTTCCTTCTGGGCATTGTCAGCCAAGGGGTGGCAAAGAAGGACCAGACATTTTTATGTATGCAACAACAGCAGCAAGGATACTTCTTGCAAAACATTGGAAAACTCAAGATTTACCCACACTGGAAGAATGGCAGATGCAACTGATAGACTACATGGAACTGGCTGAAATGACCGGCAGAATCCGTGACCTGGGAGAAGAGAGAATCGAGGAGGATTGGAAGAAATTTAAGAACTATCTACAAAAATATTGTGATTTGAGTGAATGCTAAATAAGATGCTAGACTAAATAACTGAGCACCACTTAACTTAGAAGTTTTTAAGAAAACAAGTAAGATTGTGAAAGTTTAACTCTTTATGAGAACTATAAGATTATGAAACATTGAAGAGATATAAGAATTTAAATAAGATGATAAATTGCTGACAAAATGTTATAACGATGAAAGTGGGAGCGGGGGATGTGAGGAAGTCCAAAGAAAATGTGAAACTATGTTATGACAAATGTTACATTGTTTATTATGTTTATCTTTATTGTAAAACCCAATAAATTGCTTTAAAAAAAAAAAATACAACAATAATAAAATCTACAATGAAAAATCCAAAAATAAATAAGGCAAGGGCCAAAGCAGCAATTTTAGAGTTTAAAGTCAAGATGTCTGAAAAAAATGGTGTTAACATCTTTACAAAGTCAAAAAGAGAGACTGTTATGTCAACCAGCCTGGGCAAGGAATAGCATAACTGGGATTCCAGTACCAAGAGATCCCTAGCTTTCATTCATTCATTCATTCAATTTATTTTATTTGTATGCCACTTTTCCACAAAATACTCAAAGCTGCTTACAAAAAAAAGAGAGGGGGGTTGCATTTCAAACAAACACTACAAAAGCAATTTCATATAACACAGGAAAACAATAACATAGCAAAAAAATTATAACATAGGAAAACAAAAATTTAATAACATACAAAAAAAAAGTATTTCAATAGGCAATACAGTCATACCTTGGTTGACGAATGGCTTAGTTGCCAAACGTTTCGGCTTCCGAACGATTGAAAACTGGAAGTGAGTGTTCCGATTTTTGAACGATTTTCAGAAGCCAAATGTCTGACGCGGCTTCCAATTGGCTACAGGAAGCTCCTGCAGCCAATTGGAAGCCACACCTTGGTTTTCGAATGGTTCTGGGAGTCGAATGGACTCCCAAAACACATTCTGTTTGTCAACCAAGAGACAACTGTACTATAAACATAACAAGATTTCTTAAACAACATGCAGCATCCAATAACAAGAGTAACAGTTTCACCTTAGTCCTAGAAACAGGACTAGGCCTAGTCAACAGTTGTGCTTCAGACAGCAGAGGAACTAGGAAAAACACTCTCTTCAGAAAGTCTCATAGCAAAGGGTATGTGAAATATATGGGAGGAGGCCTTCCTTCAGAAAGGCAGGGCCTTAAATTATAGCTACTGCATTGTGGACCAACTGAAGCATCCAAAATGGTCTTCCAAGGCTGCCCCACTTCCGATACATTGCCGTAATGCAACTTAGAGGTTGCCAAGGGAAAGATTATGGAGGCTGGATCTTAATAATCAAGGAGAGGGCACAGTCACACAAAACTAGAAAAAAAGGCATTGTTGGTCATATCACTACCTGAAAATCTAGGAGAAACATCAGATCTTAGAGAAACCCCAAGCTCACCCCAAGCAGACCATTCACCTATTCTTAATTATAGAGTCCCACAATTGATATTATCTGAGCTTTATGAGGATTTGATTTTATATCACAGGGTTTACTGACTACTCATCTGCATTGGTTTCAGTGCTGCATATACACAAATACCTGCTAATAAGATTACCGTTTGTAGTAACAAGACTTATGGCAGTACAACACCAGTGATAATTAGTCCTATTTGGTGAATTGAAGAAATCTTTTCATAAAGAAGATATTAGCATATGTTCTATAACACCAGTAGTATTAAGCCTTGT